AAAAAAAAAAAAAAAAAAGATTCCCCTTTACTCATATCTCTTTCTGGAATAGCCCCTAACCAGTGACCTATCCAGAGTGATTCCGCTCAGGTAACCCAGAAATACGTCCTTTTACTTAGCTTTACCCTAGAGAACTCTGTCTTGAGAGTGCCCCCCCACTCAGGTGCTGTTGCATGGACTTGGGGCTGAGGCGGCTGAGAACACCGTACCCATACTTCCAAAGCTGTCCGCGCCCAAGCCAGGATTATTAAAACTAAGCTTATTTATAGTCACGATTTGTTAGTCAGTTATTATTTAGCCTAAATCATTGAAGAAATAGTCATTAATCTCTTAACAATGTTTAAAACCTATGACTGGGAAGGGTATTTCCTCGTGTGTCTTAGTAGCCCACTCTGGGCATGTGACAGCATCCTGTTGCTGGTTGTGTTTGATTAACTCTGCGATTTTGCAATGGTGGTGACATTGGTGATGGTGACGGCAGGTTCTGTTTGTTGAGCTCTCGCTGTGTATTAGGCATTGTGCCAAGCACATTGCACCCCCTCTGTCAGTTAGTCTTCACACAAGTCTGTGAGCGCAGATAACGGTATCATCGTCCCCAGTGCAGAAACTAGGGTTTACAGAGAGGTTGAGATAGCTGTCTTCTGAAATTGGTGATTGGTTAATGGAGTTGGAGCATTAGTCAGCTGGTGATGAACTGTAAGGATGTAAAGAAATTACTCTTTGTTTTACTATTCATTGCGGTGGTTATTACAGTTCTAGTAAGAACGGCAATTTGCTGGTTTGCTCAATGGGAAGGTTGGGATGTCTTCTGTTACAGCAGGCTTTTGATAGGTTGGGTTTGTCTTTTCAGTGAGTTGTTGGACACAGTAAGCATTCATTGATTTGGATTTCTTTAATTTGAAATACATGATGATTTGGATATGGGCTGGGTCTGTATTTACCATTAAGCTCCAAGCAAAAATTAAGGGCTTACTAAAAAACAATAGAAAAGATAAATGTTTCTCTACTTAATGGAAACATTATTCTAGCCTTCTGGCTGCTTGCAATGGGCAGATAATGTCAGTAGCTTGCAGACACCAGCCTTTGGTTTCTAGGTTGCTCTTTCAATATACTTCAGTCACTTTGTCATTAAAGCTTGACCTCGTCTTAGCTTTGCAATGGTTTTTCAGTGAAAGTAATATAACTGCACTTCTTTAAATATACAGTAGTATATGGTCATCTGTGTTTGATTACCAGTGAACACAAAGTTGTCACAATATCATAGGTAAAATATAGTGAGAATAATATTTTTTTTAAGATAGAGCAGAGCTAAATACTTCTCTAGATTTCCACTGTCTTACCTCATTATGGTGTAAACAGTATAGAATGGACAGTAGAAGATACATTGTTTAAATTTTAGATTTTGTTTCTATTTTTACTTAAAACTTTTAGGTGAACTGATGCAGAACACACAGCATCTAAAAATATTCTTGTGTTAGGATAATATTGATTTTTATCTTGGACAAATCAGAAATAGTTTAAAGTAAAATTAAGTGTAGTGGAAGGACTTCATTTTGAGTGACTTAAATTCAGGGAGGATTTATTGAAAAAAATGAATGCAAATAAATTGCTTCCTATTCTTACGTATCATCAGTGAGTAGGAGGTTCTCTTTCACAATTCAGGTTTATAAAATTGTCCACCTCAGGCGTTGTGCCTCCTCACTGCCAGACGCCTATGTAACAACATATTTTACTTTAAGTTGATGACTGTTATTTCAGTATATATGCTTTTTTAATTTTATTTTTAAATTTACTTGGTTTGGCTAAAAAAAATGATTTTGTCAAAAAACAGAGCTAAAAACATGGGAACTGGCATGATAAACATACAACGTGAATTCCCTAAAGCAAGAGGTTTGATCATATTTTAGTGAAACAAAAATAATTTCATTATTTGAAACCTTAAGGCTAAATTATAAAGAATGGTCTGTTTTCACTTTGATGTAGGAACAACTGAAAATGAAGGATCAATCATTGAGAAAACTACAGCAGGAAATGGACAGTTTGACATTTCGAAATCTGCAGCTTGCCAAGAGGGTAGAACTACTTCAAGATGAATTGGCTCTAAGTGAACCCCGAGGCAAGAAAAACAAGGTAGGTCAAATAAAAGCACGTTAGGGAGGCCTTGTCTGCTAGGTACAGACATCTCCAGGCCATCTGGGTTTTAACAGAACACCTCCCCTCCAAACTCCCTAATGTTCTATTATTACGCCTGGGTATTGGTTCAAGGAAGCAGACACTTATGATTAATATATGTAGTAATATTAGAGGCATTTTTATACGAAAGTGAGTTTTGAATAATTTGTTAGGAGCAAACATGCACATACTAGATTTAGTGTCTGAGAAAAGTGAAAGGAATATCTCATACTGGTCAAAATTACTGATATCTTTCAGTTATACTGAGTTGCCATTAACTCAAGGTAGGGCAAATAAAATGAGAAACAGTGTTGAAGTGTAACAGCTCATGTGAAAGTAGCAATTGAAATACTCATTCCTTAGGCTTGAAAATTTGCTGTAAATATTTCTTAATATTTATTTTTATGAGGCCAATTTAGTATTCTTGTCTGGTCATGTAAAAATAAACTTTATCCATTATGGTTTATATAGTGAGACATGATTCTTACTTCCATAAGATGGATGGTCTGGTACTTTTGAACATTCTGTGATTAAGAAGTTGCTTTTTTTTTTTTTTTAAGATTTTATTTATTTATTTGAGAGAGAGAGAGAGAGCAAGCACAAGCAGGGGGGAGGGGCAGAGGGAGAAGCAGGCTCCCCGCTGAGCAAGGAGCCCGATGCGGGACTGGATCCCAGGACCCTGGGATCATGACCTGAGCCGAAGGCAGACGCTTAACGACTGAGCCACCCAGGCGCCCCCTTTTGTAGTTTTTTGACCAGGGTGTGACATAATCAAAAGTGCCATTTTATTGTTGGAAAAGTCAATTTCCTGGCATTTTTCTCTCTCCCTGTTTGTACTCACTGAATAACTTTTGTCACTGGGTATGTTTAAAAGCAAAAAAAAAAAAAAACAAAAACGTGTGTGGTAGAGTTGACCTTTCCTGCTGGGGTATGGAGTGGGAGTGAAACTGCTTCTCTGGTTGAGCTTTGGGGCATTTTCAGGGTGTGTGAAGTTTAAATAAGGAATAAGAAGAGGGTTGACTGTCATTCCCTTCAGTCCATGTGCTTTTTTGGGGCCTGGCAAATTTTGCTCCTTTCTTTCCTTTTTTCTCCCCAGCTTGTTCTAAAAAAGGATTTAAAGTAGCTTGCAAGACCACATTGAACTGAAAAGAAAAAAATAATGAGTGTATTAGTTCTGTATTGCCGTGTAATAGATTATACCAAAATGTAATCGTTTAAAACAACAGACATTTATTATCTCACACAATTTCTGTGGGTCAAGAATTCAGGAGAAAAGTATCATGATCTTTCATAAGCTTTTAGTCAAGAGTCGGCTGAGGCTGCATTCATTTAAAGACTTGACCCGGGTGGGGCATCTTCTTCCCAGGTGGCTCACTCACACGGCTGGTCAGTTGGCTGGAAGCCTTGGTTTCTCATCGAGGACACTTCTCTATAGGGCTGCTGGAGTGTCCTCAAGACATAGCGGTTAACTTCCCCTAGAACGAGTGATCCAGGAGAGCAGAGTGGAAGCCACAATGCCTATTATGACTTAGCCTGGGTACTGAGTACCATCCCTGCTACCATCTTATATTGGCCACACAGACCAGCCCTGAAACAGTGTGCAAGGGTAATCCACAAAGCCAAGAACAGCCAAGGCAGGGGTCATTGGGGCCATCTTGCAGGCTGGCTCCCACACGGAAGAAATTGAGGGATCTTGCTGTCAGTGTGTGCTCTAAGTGCCCCATAATGTGGCATTCTGAAACAGTTCTGCCACTCCTCCTACTTAGCTGATTTTTCTTCCCAGCTTCTTTGTGAGTATCATGCAGTGTTTCCAGGGTTTGACTAGTGTTTATGTCCATGTATCCTGTAAGTACCTTGTAGTATAGCAAAAGCTATACTCTGGAGTCAGACTACTGGGGTCCAACCACTTTGTGTCCCCTTGGGCAATTTATTAAACCTCTCTGTGCTTCAGTTTCCTGATATTTAGAATGGAGGTTAGAGTACATACCTCACAGGTATATATGTTTGAGGATTAAGTAGATAATACATGTGAAGTTCTAATAGTGCCTGGCACATAGTAAGCACTCAATAAAGGTTAGTTCTTATTATCATTATACCTTACACATAGGAAGCCCTCAGGAAGTGCTTGATTTTCATCAGTTTTGATCGGACTCCACGAATCTATTGAAGTTCATAAACAATCAAACTTTGGGCCTTTGAAATGCTTTTTAATTTCACTGTGGGAAAAAACTTTCAGATGACTTGGGTAGGGAAAAGAGTACTGCAGCGTTTTAATGTAAAAGTTATATTTTCTTTTATACTTCCTATAATATCAAAAAATATATTTTACTCAATACTTTGTTCCTTTTTCGGAATTTTATTTTAGCTTGTTGCCAAATTATGCCCACACAGTGAGAATCAAATATGTTAATCTTATCTGAAACACTTCATCACTTTTAAGAATTCATGTATTTATCTTAATATTTTACCTTTGGCCTATGAAAGGTTCTATGTGGTTTTTCTAATAAGTCTTATTATTGAATAAGGCTGTATTATTCTGAGAGTCAGAAACCACTTGTTAAAAGATGACCAGAATGTTTAGACTTGTTCATAGAATCCTAAAGTAGCATTTATGATTGAAGCCGAGAGAGATCAAGTGAGTTGCCTAGGGCCAAATATCTATAGTTTATAGTATGGCCAGTTGAATCACATTTCTGCATAATGAGATATTACATTTCTATACTGAGAAATCAGAATTTGAGCTGTTATACAGTACTTTGATAATTGAGATATTTCATAAGTGAAAATTAACTTTTTGCTTCTAAATTGTCTAAACACCTACAGGATTTTTTTTTTCTGAATCTATTCTTCATACTGAATTAGTTCTTTATAAATACTAAGGTATCAGTGAAAGTTACAAAAGTTTTTTACATCCTCATTTTGGTGATACTTATATTCCTGGAATTTGTTAACCCTGAACATTGTACACAGTAAAAATAAGAAGCTGTCCTCAATAGACTTGTTTTTTTAAAATGAGGCACATAACATAAAAATCTTTCATAGTTTTTATTTTCTCCTTTCTTTCTTTCTTTCTTTTTCTTTCCTTTCTTTCTTCCTTCCTTCCTTCCTTTCCTTTCCTTTCCTTTCTTTTCTTTTTTTTTTTTAAACTGAGACCTCTCTAGAGAAGCCGGTGTTTGGGGAAGGCCTGTTGGTGTGGGTTGTAATGCAGTGTCCTCTCTGAGTGTCCTCCTCGTTGTTAATGATGTCACCCCTCTTCAAGTTCCTCCTTTTGGAATGAGATGGGGACTTGGGGATTGTATTTGGAACTGTTAGAGGTGATCATCTCTGTTTTGTAAAAGCCAGACTTTTTTCCTAGAAAAAGTTTCCAGAAGAATTTAGGTTTATAACTCAGTGAGTCCATTTATAAATCTATTGATACTTGTTATTTTCCAGTGATGTAACTCACAGTTCTTTCCCTCCTAATGTAGTTCTCACAATACCTTCATGAAAATGCATCCTACGTCCGCCCTCTTGAGGAAGGAATGCTTCATTTATTTGAAAGTATTACTGAGGATACTGTGACTGTCCTGGTAATTTTCTTCTATGTTTTACAAATTCTGGAAGTGGAAGCTCCTCTTTGTCAAATAACACTATTAACCATGAAATTATTTTTCTTTTCCAGGAGACAACTGTGAAATTGAAAACTTTCTCAGAGCATTTAACCTCTTACATATGTTTTCTAAGGAAGATTCTTCCTTATCAGTTAAAAAGGTACTTACCCTTGAGGCCAAGGAGCTTGGGGAGTTGTGGGGTGTCCCCTGACCTGTGCTGGACTTGAACTAGCGACATGTGACCCTTGTGAGCTGCCTGATCTTTCTGCACCACAACCAATTTGGACTTCTATGAAAAAGGAAAATAATGGTTTGAGCAGCATAAACTTACATTTAAGAAAATTGAATTGTAGTGCACCAGTTAGGGTTTTTTGAGTAGTTCTATAGCGTGGTTACTGCTATAACCACATAATGCTGTGAGTCAGTATTTTCAGTGATTGAATCACACATTTATTGAAAGAAATCTTTCAGTTTTATCCTTTTTGCTGTAAACATTTAGATGGAGGTTATAGTAATTAGCTTCTACACTTGGATCTATAATCATTAGGTTTCTTTGAAGTGGTATTTTCTTGTTTTTATTGTTGGTGGTTTATTTAAGTTATAAACTAAAAACTTTATCTGCCCCAGCCCTCATAGAAGATATCATTTAGTAACCTTAAATATTCTTTGTTATGTATTTCTGGATGGGAAAGAGAAAATAATCCATGTAACTGGAAATTTGATAATTGATTTTATGTTTTGATACTTTTGGCCTAAAATTACCATGACCCCTAATTCGTCTAAATCTTTTCATCCTAAGATTTAGCCTTAAAAAAAAAAACAAAGAATAATACACCTGGAACATAAGAGAAATAAGAACATGTATGTATTATAATATATTGCAAGATAAGGTTTAGAAAATATGTAGATGAGTAACTCATAGATATTGAAAATATGCAAGTAATTATGGTTCATAAATCCTTATAAAACCAAAGTAGTAGGTTTTATCTTTTCAAAAATGTTAACTTTTGTTATTTAAAAAATTTAATATGTGTTAAAAGCCATTTTATTTACTAATTCTAACCAGACAAGGTATTTCAGTAACCAAATTTTCTGATTTGTGGATATCACAGAATTTTAGGAATCAGGGAATTAGGACTTAAACTAATAATTATGAATTATAGTTTCATTCAGATTCTTATATCTTATGGTTGTTCAATGTAAAGATTTTTGAAAATTGACTCTAGAAGTTTAAATAACACTAAATTGAATATATTTTATTGATTTGGCTTATGTTTAAGAGGACTCTATTTGAGAACCATTGCAAAGGAAGCATTTACTACTTGAAACAGTTATGCATTTTTATTTTACCTTAATTTATTTTTTCACTATTAAGTTTTTAGAAACATTGGGTAAGTCTTGATCTTAGATTCCTATTCTTGGAATGTTTTGTCCCCTACCTCATTATGTATTTATGTTTTTAGGCAACTTGTCATCATTGGTTTAAAAACCACTTTAATTGACAAGATGACACGTTTTTTAGTAATAAATGGGCTTAGTATTGAAAGAAGCTGTCTGGTACAAAGTAGAGAAAGAGAAGGAAAGGGATATGATTATCATTTCTGTGTTAATAATTTTCTTGGCTTTATATAAAAAGCAAAATTTTGCTTGATTACTGGCACATTTTTAATAAACACTGTTGAGAGTCCATGTGTTTTTTTTAACCATATAATTGTTTTCCCAAGTAACCATTTAAAATAGAAAATGATACAATGTATTATATGAATGTTAGCCATTGATTTTTAGATTTGTGTATATAGATTTTTTTTTCAATCTGTTTGGCTTTTACAAAGACATATAGGTTTCTTTAGGAATTCAATGTATGAAATATTTTTCTCCGCAAAAATAGTTTTTTTTATATTTTTCTTTTCTTTTTTTTTTTTTAAGATTTTATTTATTTATTTGACAGAGAGAGACATAGTGAGAGCAGGAACACAAGCAGGGGGAGTGGGAGAGGGAGAAGCAGGCTTCTCGCGGAGCAGGGAGCCCGATGTGGGACTCGATCCCAGGACCCTGGGATCATGACCTGAGCCGAAGGCAGATGCTTAACGACTGAGCCACCCAGGCGCCCTCTTTTTTTGTTTTTTCCTTTCTTTTTTTTTAAAGCAAGCTCTATGGGGCGCTTGGGTGGCTCAGTCAGTTAAGCGTCTGCCTTCTGCTTGGGTCATGATCCCAAGACCCTGGGATCGAGCCCCGCATCGGGCTCCCTGCTTGGTGGGGAGCCTGCCTCTCCCTCTGCCTCTGCCTGGCGCTCCCCCTGCTTGTGCTCTCTCCCTGTGTCCAATAAATAAATAAAATCTTAAAAAAAAAAATAATTAAGCTCTATGCCCAGTGTGGGGCTTGAACTCATGACCCTGAGATCAAGAGTACTATGCTCTATTGACTGAGCCAGCCAGGCAGTGCTCCTCAAAATTCTCTTTTCCCCTCAAAGTATTTTTAAGAGAAATAATTTTGTGCTGCTCTTAGGATGGAAAGACAATGGGCATCTGCTTTTTTTGTTTTTTGTTTTTTCTGTTTAGTCCTCTGTTAGTCGTTTGCAGCAAACAGGCGTGTGTATTGTGGTCTAGAAAATGGAACCTTATAAATGAGATCAGTTTTGTTTTTTTTTTCCCCTTGGAAAGTTTCTCTTTGGTTATAGTTGTTTGAGAATTCAGATGATTTATTATAGCTATTTGAAAATCGTTAGGATGCTCACTTTTGAAAAATCTGCTCATTCCTAGTTTAGAAGAAGAATGTGGATCTTCTCTTTGCACATCTGCATTGAGAGCCAGGAATCTAGAGCTGTCTCAGGACATGAAAAAGATGACAGCTGTGTTTGAGAAGCTGCAGACTTACATCGGTCTTCTTGCCTTGCCAAGTAAGTTTCTTGGTTGCTCATGGATCAGCTTGAAGAACTTAGAGTATAAGAAGCTGGAGAAAGCAGATGTTTAGCTTGTTTGAATAGGAAGAGTATAGGAATCTGGAGTCAGAAAAACTTGAATTCAAATCCTCCAGCCTCTTACACATTTATGATCTTGGGCAAATCACTTTACTTCTCTGTACCTGTTTTCCCATTTATAAAATGGAGGTAAAGTGATTATTAAGTTAAATTAAGAATGTACAATATTAGGCATTGAAGACATGCATTAAATATTAATTTCCTTTCTCTCCATCTTCTTTTTTAAATGGAGAGGGGCAAAGCATAAGAATTTGTAACAACTTTCCAACAAGTAGCATAGGGGAGGGAGGTTTGGAAGGAAAAATGTCATTTGTTTCCCTTTGGTCTAACTTGAAGAGAGTATTTCCAGGTAATTGAATGGATCTCAGTTTAAATGATGTTTTGAGAATGCTGTGATTTTTCGGGTACTGTGATTTGTTTTTTTTGTAACAGCTTTAATGCGATATAATTTATATACCATATAATCTACCCATTTAAAGTATAATGTTCAGTGGTTTTTAGTATATTCACAGGTATGTGCACCATCACACATCAAAGTTAATTTTAAAATATTTTCATCACCTTAAGAAGAAATCCTGTATACTTTAGCTATCACCTCATTCCCCTGTTCCATGCCTCCCTGGCACTAAGCAAGTACTGATACACTTTCTGTCTATAGATTTGCCTATTCTGAACATTTTGTATAAATGGAATCATATAATATGTAGTCTTTTGTGACTGCTTTTTTTCACTCAGCATAATGTTCTCAAGATTCATCCATTCCTTTTTATTGCAGAATAATATCCCATTACATATCCCACCACATTTTATTTACCCATTAGTTGATGGGCAGTTTGTGTTGTTTCCACCTTTTGGCTATTATGAATAATGATGCTATAGATATTTGTGAACAAGTGTTTGAGTGGGCATAGCCTTCATTTCTCTTGGGTGTATACCTAGGGGTGGAATTGCTGGGTCATATGGTAACTATGTTTAACTGTTGGCAGAACTGCCATACTGTTTTCTAAGGTGGCTTCCAACCAGCAGAGTGTGAGCGTTCTGATTTCTCCACATCCTCACCTGCACTTGTTATTATCTGACTTTTTGATTTTAGCCATCCTAGTGTTATCATCTGACTTTCTGAAGTGGTATATCATTGCAGTTTTGATTTGTATTTGCCTGATGTCTAATGATGTCAAGCATCTTTTCATGTCCTTATTGGCCATTTGTATATCTTCTTTGGAAATAGGTTCATTCAGATCCTTTCTCTATTTTTCAGTTTGGTTGTCTTTTTATTATTGAGTTTTAAGTGTTCTTCATACATTCTAGATCAAATCCCTTTTTGGATATGTGATTGACAATATTTTCTTAAATTTTGTGGGTTATCTTTTCACTTTTTTGATGGTATCTGTTGAAGCACGAAAGTTTTTTATTTTGATGAAGTCCAATTTATCTTTATTTTATTGCTCGTGCTTTTGGTATCATATCTAAGAATCTGTTGTCAAATGTGAGGTCATAAAAATTATCCCCTATGTTTTCTTCTAAGAGTTTTATAGTTTTAGCTCTTAGTTGTCTTTGATCCATTCTGAGTTAATTTTTGTATCTGGTGTGAGGTAAGGCTCCAACTTCCTTTTTTGCATGTGTTTATCCAGTTGTCTCAGCACCATTTATTGAAAAGACTTCTTTCGCTATTGAATGGCCTTGGCACACTTGTTAAGAATCAGTTGATCATAGATGTATGGATTTATTTCTAGACTCTCAGATTTATTCCAGTGATCTATGTATCTATCCTGTGCCAATACTATACTGTCTTGATGACTGTTGTTTTGTAGTTAGTTTTGAGATCAGGAAGTGAAAGTTCTCCTACTTTGTTCTTCATTTTCAAGATTGTTTGGCTGTTCTTGTTCTCTCACAATTCCATATGAATTTTAGAATCAGCTGGTTAGTTTCTACAAAGAAGTCAGCTGGGATTCTGATAGGGATTGTATTGAATCTGCAGATCAGTTTGGGGAGTTTTGTGGGTTGAACTGTGTCTCCCTAAAAGATATGTGAAATTCTACCCCAGCACTGATGTATGTAACTTTATTTGGAAATAGGATCTCTGCAGATGTAGTCAAGATAAGATGGGGTTCTACTAGTTTAGGGAGAGCCCTGTCAGTCCAATGACTGCCATCCTTGTAAGGAGAGATTTGGAGACAGAGACACAAGAGAGACTCAGGGAGGCCATATGAAGACAGAGGCAAGGATTGGAATTAATCCTGCCATAAGCCAAGGAACGTGTGGGGCCAACAGAAGCTGGGAGAGGCAGAGGAAGTGTGGCCCTGTCAGCACTTGGCTTCCAGAACTGTGAGAGAACTATCTTCTGTTGTTTTAAACCACCCCCTTTGTGGTACTTTGTTACAGCAGGCCTGGCAAACTAATGTGGGAGTATTGCCATCTTAATGATGTTAAAGTTTTCTGGCTCATGAACATGGTGTATTTTTCCATCTAGGTAGACCTTGTTTAATTTTATTTTGTAGTTTTTTGGAGTAAGCACCCTGATGTTTCTCAGGGGGTTCAGCCTTGGGCATGCACACAGTTGCCCTGGGGTGACAGTGGTTTTGTGAGGGCCCTTTCCCTGTTTTGTTTCTTGATCTTACCAAGGATGAGCTCCACTGATTGCTGGCTGACTGCCATCTTGTTTTTAACAATGCCTTTGGGGCATAAATTGCTCCACAGATGACCCCCTTGAATTTGGGCTTCTTTATGGGTATAGTTTTTGAGATCAGTGTTTGAGGTTTGTTATGACCCCAGGAGGGCCTTCTTAGCTGTTTTTCTTCTCCGCTCTGGTCAACCAGCCAGCCTACAGTTTAACTTATATCTTTTATGAATCTACCAATTTCCTGTTAACTGCTTTCACCACAAGCTCCATTATTTTTGAGAGTGCCTTTAGACTTGAACTTCTCCATACTCTGTTGAGAATGAAATTAATTCCTTTGGGAACAGATTCAGAGTTTTCTGTTTTAAGGCCTGTGCCTCCCTTGGACTAAATCTCTGAGCCATGGTTCTGGTCCTGGAGATGGGGACAGTGATGCACTTCTCAGAGTAACACTCTTGCTTTAGTGGCTGAGCGCTGGGGGAGGAGGCAGGGGCTGGGGGGGGGGAGGGGTAGGGCCACAGCCTCCGGTCTCCTTGGCTTGCCTTTTTCAGTGTGAGCTGGGGCAAGGCTATGTATGGAGAACCCCAGTGTACTCAGCGGTACTGTGCTCAGGGTAGAACCTCCATCCCCCGAGTTGGGGCTGGGTGGGAGAACTCCCACCTCTTAGTCATACTCACCCCGAACTTAGCTTTAGCAACAGGTAGGTGGGGACAAGGGTGAAATGCAGCCCTCCAGCTGGCAGTTAGAGGAGAATTATATTCTTGGCCTCACCAGTCTGGAGTGGGATTTGTAGCTCACTGAGCTGGTGAGGGGAGGGTGGGAATGGGTCTTTGTTCAAATACCACAGATTCTGGCTGTTCTTACTGAGTTGTTAAAGATTTTTTTCTTTTCTCCCCCCCTTTGTTTTTAAAAGATTTTCTTGAGTAAATGTTTCTTCATTTGCTGTATGCACTTAGGATCATTTCCAGAGTCTTATTAAATGGTTGTTTTTTGTTTGTTTGTTTGTTTTTATTAACATATAATGTATTATTTGTTTCAGGGGTATAGGTCTGTGATTCATCAGTCTTACACAATTCACAGCGCTCACCATAGCACATACCCTCCCCAGTGTCCATCACCCAGCCACCCCATCCCTCCAACCCCCCTCCACTATAGTTTTCAGGGGCACCCGGTGGCTCATTCGGTTAAGCGTCTGCCTTCGGTTCTGGTCATGATCTCAGGGTCCTGGGATCAAACCCCGTGTCGGGCTCTCTGCTCAGCGGGAGTCTGCTTCTTCCTATGCACTCCCCCACTTCTCTGCCCCTCTCATATTCTTTTTCTCTCTCTCTCAAATAAAATCTTTTAAAAATAAAATAATTTTCACCAGTTTTTTGGGGGGAGTGGATCTGTGGAGCTGCTCATGCTGTCATGTCAGAAGTGGAACTCTGAATAATGGTGTTTTTAGTGAGGTTCAACAAATAATGTGTTGGGAAAGAAGAAATTGAGAAATGTGTTCTGTAATAACAAGGTGGAAATTCACGAACTTTTATTTCAAAAAGAATCATAAAATATGTAATCTTACCTAACAATTTAATTTTGATTCTTAACCATTAAAAATGTTTGTGGATGTGGATCATGCAGATCAGTTGGATATGTCTATATTTATCACTGTTATATCTGAATGTGTCTGCAAAGATGTCAGGAGCCATAATTTCCAGCATATCACAGGCAGAATTTATTCTTTCTCTTCCCAAAAGTGGAGGAAGAAGGTGGGCTGTCAGTTTTTCAGGCGAAGAAGTCTTCTGGGGAAATGCTTAGGCTGGTGATTTTGGTTTCCTAGGTACAGAGCCAGATGGACTCCTTCGGACAAACTACGGTTCTGTCTTAACAAACGTTGGTGCTGCTCTGCATGGATTTCATGATGTCATGAAAGGTGAGGCTTGAGAAGGACATAAAGAAGCCGAAAACCTTCATCTTACTTTCTCAGATCTGCCCGAATGAGATTTAAACAAATACTGCCAAGGCTAATAGACCTCAGAGAAAGGCTTAGTAGCATTTGGCTTCTGTTGAAGTGCACAGCTCACTGCCGTCTGCTTTTTCCATCTGCTTCATTTCTGAAGGTAAACAAAGTGCTGAAGAGAAACCCTTGTGCACAGTACTTTAGCCAGAAATGCACTGCACTGATTTAAGGCAGGTGTGTGCATTTTATCAAGTCAGGCATGCTATTCAGAGGCATTTAGCAAAATACTTCGCACTTGTTAGAGCCCAAGCATGAAGGAGTTGAGGAAACCAGGGTTTAAAGTTCCAAGAAAGAATGTACTAACTTTCCACTCCTGTGCATTTTTATGTTTAAAGTGCCCATTTTAAGTCCTGTTTTGTTCAGGGGAACCTTGAGAAGTGCAGGTCTGGTTTTAAACTCTGGTCAGTGTTTAATTGCTATGGACTAAGAATATAGTCAGTTGAAGGACATTTCATATGCTTCTTAGCTAACTGTGATTCTGAGTTGACTTTTTAATCTATAGGTCTGCATGGCTTCTAGGTTTTTCTCTTCCTTTCTTTTCCTTTTGAAGGCAGTTGGGGCAGGGGAAGGGGGAAAGGGCAGAAGCAGTTATCAGAAATAGCCCAGATTAATAATAACCTAGATTATTCGTTGTGGTGTGGAGGTAACAATTAGGGACCAGTTACTAGTTTCACAGAAAATAATTTTAAAAACTAACGAGTGTTGGAAAGCATGTACAAGATGTGTATATTCAGGCCCTTCTGTAGATTGGCATGTAACCTGTGGCACTGGGAATCATTCATAGTTAGTGCCAGTAGTCTCACCTAGCACCACCTTACCATTCAGTGTGGAGAATGGGCCTTTTTGTGGCTTTTCTTCAATAATAAGGAATTTAAAAAATTGTTGTACTTCTGGAGCTAGCCCTGGCTGTAGGAGTCACAGCTTGAATAGACAGTCTTCGTGGCAGGTGACAATAGTTAGCCCCAAACCAGCAGAACTAGTCTGGTGTGTGGAGAACCCAAGGGCCTGGTGCCTATTTCCCAAGCAGCTTTTGGTTTGGGGAGTTCAGATCTAGCTGTGGTCCTTTCTTCCAGAACTTTAGTTAACCTAGAACTGGGCCACTGAAACCATAGGTAGCTCTGTTGCCACATTGTTTTTTTTTTTGGTTTTATTTTCTAAATTTTGCTATGCCGACATAATGATTTCTTCTCGCTAGTGGTTTCTCTTGCATTCCTCTAAAGAAGGGGCTAGAGCGGTGGAGGGTAGCTGTCCAGTGAGAAGGGTCTTAAACCTTCCTTTACGTTAAAAAAAATCTTGATTTTATTTATATTTCTATTTTAATTTATCTACAATTTTATACAGATGCTTTTTTTTTTAAGATTTTTTTTTTTAAGTAATCTCTATACCCAACATAGGGCTCAAACCTACAACCCTGAGATCAAGAGTCGCACACTCCACCAACTGAGCCAACTAGGCACCCCCTCATACAGATGCTTTTATTCATACATTACATAAGATTAAGAAGACACCAAGCCGTCCAAATCAAAGAATGTTACTGTTGTTATTTGAGGCATGAGCTGATGGAACTTATGGGAGGATCAGTCACCGTCCCCTCCCCCTGGCCCCCTTAGTGCGTCCACTTGTTTCTGTCCTTGCAGATACAATGTAAAGAGAGAATATTGGGAAACATGAAGGGTGATTGGCAAGATTATGGGGTCCTGTTGCTAGGTTTACAGTTCAAATTTGTCTTCTTACCTAGCTTGGAAGACTGCTGTGTATCTCTCGGAGACTCAGAGTAAATATCAACTGGCATTAACAGAAGAAGCTTTGTGTTTCAGAGAACTCTCAAACCTCTTCCCTTGCTACTTCGCCCTGAATAATTGCTTGATCTGAGCTAGGAGGCAGGCAGGCAGGTGTCAGTGTAAAAAGAGAGCTAGAGATTTATAAACATGTCAATCTTACATGGATTCAAAATTGGAATGAATTAATCTTTTAACAAGGGAATTCTGAGAATTGTTGATCTTTAATCTCAGGTCTAAAGCAGATAGACCATAGGAAACATAAAAAGAAATCTCGGGGTGCCTGGGTGGCTCAGTTGGTTAAGCATCTGCCTTTGACTCAGGTCATGATCCCAGGGTCCTGGGATGGAGCCCCACATTGGGATCCCTGCTCAGCGGGGAGCCTGCTTCTCCCTCTGTCTGCCGCTCCCCCTGCTTGTGCTCTCTCTCTCCGTCAACTGAATAAATAAAAACTTAAAAAAAAAAAAAAAGTCTCTGGCATAGGTCACATGGTTTCTTTGTTCTTCTTGGATTTAAAATTTAATGTCAAGGAACACCCTAAATAATTGAAATCTTTGGACTCAATAAAGAGTGATCAATTGGATCAGGAGAATTCTTAGTCAAACTACAGTGGTGCTGTTTCAGTGGAACCATGTCAGCGTTCAAAGTACTGTATGACTTTCCTCAGTATCTCAGTCATCTACCAGTCACCTAAGATTACCTGCCAACCAAGTTGTATTAAGATTTGTGCACTTCCAGTAAAATGGTGACTACAACTTTCTGTGGTGTGTAGAAAGAAAATGTCTCTGTTGGGGCTAGCAGTTCAGTATATAAAACGTTCAGTGGGGCGCCTGGGTGGTTCAGCCGGTTAAGCGGATGACTCTTGATTTCGGCTCAGCTTCTAATCTCAGGGTCCTGGGATCAAGGCCCTTATTGAGCTCTGTGCTCAGCGGGGAGTCTGCTTGAGTATTCTCTCTCTCCCTCTCGCCTGCTCTCCCTCTCTCTCTCTAAAATAAATAATCTTTAAAAAAAAATGTTCACTGTTCCAATTGAATTTTTATTCAGTTGGATATCGTAGGAATATATAGAGTATAATCATTTATTTTTAAAAGTATAAACATAATAGTAATGTACCAGTTAATTGGCTCCTTTGCTGTGACAGGTGTACCATAGTAATGTAAGGTGTTAACGGTAGGGAACGCTGGCTAAAGGGTATACAGAAAGTCTCTGTCACTTCTCTGTGAATCTAAAACTATCTTAAATTGCAGTTTACAAATTTATGTCTATTAAATATATAAGTAAAACAATTCCCCAGTTTTAAAATTTTAGTAAAAATAATTCTATTCAGGGGCGCCTGGGTGGCTCAGTTGGTTAAGCGACTGCCTTCGGCTCAGGTCATGATCCTGGAGTCCCGGGATCGAGTCCCGCATCGGGCTCCCTGCTCAGCAGGGAGTCTGCTTCTCCCTCTGACCCTCCTCCCTCTCATGCTCTCTGTCTCTCATTCTCTCTCTTGCAAATAAATAAAATCTTAAAAAAAAAAAATAATAATTCTATTCATAAAACAGTGGTTTTTGTGTTAACATATCATGATCATATCAGGTTAAATCTCAAATGCCATTTCTTTCTAACTAGTCTTATTTCTTTTTAATTATCCAGTCAGAAATCAGCTAGATTCCTTGATTCTGAATGCAATTCTCGGCATACACACCTGTTATAAAAATTAATTTTCATATTTTGTGATTTATTTTTAGCTTTGTTGATAATGATAATTCATGCTGTTGTACCTGAAGTATTCTAAAAAATTCAGAGGAGAATGAATTGTGAACACTTTATTATTTAAAAATACCATTACCCTTCTTCGTAAATCAGAGTTGTCTTAGGAATTCTCCCATTATCCTTATTTTTGGGACAAAATCATTCTTTCTCAGAGACCCAGAAAACGCCAAGCTTAGTTGTTTGGCCAGTTTCACCTACTGCAATTTCTTTTAACGCTTTTATGTCTAAGTCTGTGTCCTGTGCTTTGCTAACCGCAGGCTTTGTTGTACTACTCTGGGACTGGGGGCGGTGGCCTGGGAAGCCAGACACGGGGCCCTTCAGTCCTGGTTTGGCTGTGCAGACCCTTGTTGGTGTCAGTGTCAGGGTGTGTGCCAGCAAACTGGCTGCGGGCCAGTAAGGATTGCGGGCCATTGTGCCTCTGTGGTCGTTCTGTTCCCGCCTCACAGTTAGCTTATAGGAGGACTAGATAAATTCTCATCTGTGCCTTTCCAGACTATGAAAACAGCGTTATTAACTGGCAATAAACTGCTCAGGGTCATTTACCCAGCCCTAGAAGAAGGGCAAACGCTCAGATGAGGGATAATCAGAGCCACAGGCTGGTGGCTGTAATAGAGACACAGACCCTCACTTGTCTCTAGTCTTTCCACATGGATTTGTGACCTAATTGATATTCAGGACAATCCTGATAGGGTTGGGACCTTTTTTGTTGTTGTTGTTGTTGTTGTTCAAATTTACTGTGTAAGTCTCTAAGAGTAGATATGAGAAGTTAATGGGCTGGTTGTGTGCAACTTGTATATGGATAGTAAGAGTTTTCATTTGATTGCTTTTATAGATATTTCTAAACATTACAATCAGAAAGCTACAATAGAGCATGAACTTCCAACAGCAACACAGAAGCTCATTACGACTAATGACTGTATCCTGTCATCAGTAGCAGCATTAACAAATGGAGCAGGAAGGGTAAGTTTTCTCGGTTTATAGTGACATGAACTTTAATTCTTAAGTAAGCTCTTTTAAAAGGATTTTTGGAATATCAGGCTTTTTTGTAAAATAAAGTTGTCTCCCTTTTCCTTCTCCCTACACACTATTTAAAGCAATATGGGAGTGACTTATTAGCATTTGTAATGAGTCGCTTGCTCACAGTTTAGTTTTTAGGGAGATATTTGATGATCAGTATACATCTTTGTACATATCAAATGTCTGCTTTATAGAAATTGGGAACTTCTATAAAAAGAAAAAAGAACCAATAAAACCTTTGTTAATATTTTGGGGTTTTTTCTCCTAGTTTTTTGTCACAGTGCTGCTTCTGTGATTTTATTTCCTAACAAGTGCTTTTAAGGTGACTTCAACATGTGTCTTTTCATTGAACCATTAATATTAGATAATGATTATTTGGCTCATTAAGCACTTAATTATTATTATAAACTGACCAAAATGCACTTTCTCTAAAAATTCTCTCTTGGATATTCTGATTTCAGCAGTTGTCACATTCTCAGTACAGCTTTGCTGATTCAGATGTCTCTGAGAACTACCCATATATGTGTAACTGGAAGGACTGTATTCAGAGCTGTCTTAGCCCATTTATTTCGGTTGATGCATCCTAATTTCTCAAGGAAATTTCTCTATCTGTGTTTATATACCATTATTTTTCTGACAGGTTGCCTCTTACAGAAACATATTTTTTCAGGTAATTAAGTTAATCAGAAGTGATCACAGATCATTTTATATATTCAGTGACACTTTGCTAGCGCTTGGGGCCATCATTAAAAGGTGTTATCTTTAGGTTCTGTCAGCTCACAGGTCTGTGCCTACAGGGTTCTCCAGCAAGAAGACCATCCCTATTGCCCCCTTTTGAACACTTGCATCTACAGGCATGCTGTAGCTTTCTGAAGATAATTCTAACTTTGATTCAATTACAAAAAATTCTGGAAAAAGAGAACATTGGCATTTTAGAGGAGTCTCTGCATTTTTCAACTTTTATGAAAACTCTGAAATATTAAATACCTGGATCCTTCACAGCTAATTTTAGATTTGCTTTACCTGAAACTTTAAAATGTTGTCTCAAGGACAGGTCTACGATCTTTATTCTGAATTTTTTGTGAATGGTTTTTAACTGAAATAAATATCTGAACTAATGTTAGTTGGTGGCAGCTTAATACTTAGCTAATGTGATTCGATCAAACTAAATTTTATAGTTTGTAATTTTTAGAAGCCCAGTGAGAAAATGTAATATATGCCTATTGAAGAACATTTAGAAAATGTAGAAATATTAGAAAGAGGAAAGAAAATAAACCGCACCGTATACTGCAGTGACCCAAACGCAAACCGTCCATGTCGTTTACAAGGAATATAAGACTCAGGATTTTTAGAATCCTTTATTTTCTTGAATACTACCTACTATAGAATTTCTTTTGATACAGTAAAATGATGAAAAATAAAACCTTTCAGACCATTAGTGATTCATTGCTTACTTTTTGAGCAGTTTCTCAAAAAGTAAGCAAAGTTTCTTGCCAAGGTATAGGATATTTTGTTCTATAAGTCACTTCTTATTTATCAAAACAGGGTATTCTTTAATGTAGCCAACACTTTTTAATTTTTCCGGCTACTAACCTTCTGAGACATTTTTATTTATATCACCATTTCATATAGCACTGTAGATTCAAAGTCATGGTTCAGTCATGGATCTTCATGGCTGCTTACACAGATTTAACTCATGTTAAATCTGTTAATGACAGGGTCTACTAAATTGCTAGTCTTTATTATACGTGTAATTCACACATTAAGTTTAAATAGAGTGAACATATTCCAAGATGCCATGTCATGTCTCATGTTGGAATTTGAAGCATTCAAAGTTAAAATACAAATAGAATGTATAAATCCAAACATAGATATTTTGAGAGTAGTGGCAGAAATTAATGAGGTAAATAGCTCATGGACATCGTCTACAGAATAAACCAGAATTAGTCTTGGTTTTCAGGAAGAACAGAAGTTGTTTACCTTAAGACCTATCAGAAGTCTGGTCTCAATCTTTCTCCTGGTATTGTCTTTTTATTACAAATCATTGCCCTAGGTATTCTCCTCAAATAAATAAATGTGGGCTTTGGGGCAGGTGTTGAAATTTCATTTCCATACTCAGCACCTTTAGCTCTGGTCCAAAAACTATTAGGCATATATGTTAGATATATTATTGGAAAACAAAATCTGTCTTCTTGTCACACTTGATTTAGATCGCATCTTTCTTCAGCAACAACGTGGACTACTTCATTGCTTCTCTGAGCTACGGGCCTAAAGCAGCGAGTGACTTCATTAGTCCTCGTTCAGCTGAATGCATGCTGCAGTACAAGAAAAAAGCTGCTGCCTACATGAAGGCTCTGAGAAAGGTTTGTGAGCTGCTGTTGAATTTACATCAGGGGAAAATCAGGAATCATTCCAGAGAATGGCGAGAGTCTGCACAGTTCATATCGTTTAGATTTTACACAACTGGGGGGCATGGGTGGTTGGTGGGTACTGGGGGAGGTCTTCAGGAAGGAGAAGGTGAAAGAGACCCAAACCTCAATTAACATGTGATCTGTGCATAGACCATGTTGGACTCATGTCCCCAAGTGCCTGGTAGGAGTGTCTAGAATGAGGCAGCCAGGCAGCCAGTAAGTATCCAACTTCAGAAGTCTCAAACTTGTAGAAACAGAAAAAATGGAAATACATCTCTAATTCTTTCCCGAATATAAGAAAACAAGGTCATTGCAAAAAGAAATCAGAAGGCACCTGATGTGATGAACACTAGGTGTTTTATGCAACTGATAAATTATTGAACACTACATCTGAAACTACTGATGTGCTGTGTGTTGGCTAATTGAATGTGAATAAATAAATAAATAAAAGAAATCAGAAGATAAAGCAGTACATGAAGAAGAAAATTATAATTGCACCAAATCCCACCACCCAGAGGTAGCTACCATTAACTTTTATTAGAGTATATCTGTATCCAGAAAAATTGTAGTACATGTGTGCTGCACATGCACAAGGAAACACACATGTCTATGTTATAAAAAGCAGAGTGTATCTGAATACATACAGTTTTACTTATTTATTTATTTTAAAAATTTTCTTTATTTGAGAAGAGAGAGAGAGTGCACGAGCAGGGGGCAGGGCCAGAGGGGGAAGGAGAGGGAGAAGCAGGCTCCCCGCTGAGCAGGGAGCATGATGTGGGACTCGATCCCAGGACCCTGGGATCATGGCCTGAGCCGAAGGCAGACCCTTAACCAGTTGAGCCACCCGGCTGCCCCCATACGCTGTTTAGAATCTGGTTTTTTCCTCATAGTGAATTGGAGATATAAAAATTGTGATTTTTATATATCAAATAATACATGTCTGTAAATATAAATTGTTATAGTATTTCATTCTGTAAATGTGTCATAATTTAACCAGTCCATTGCTTGTGGATATTTAGGTTGTGTTCTATTTTTCACTGTTACATGCAGAGCTAGAGTAGATATACTTGGACCTGCAACTTTGTGCATTTGTTTTTTACCTTTTCCCCTTATTTTTTAAAACTTCTGGTTACACATAATGTATAATAAACACATTCTTATATTACATTACAGATAAAGTACAGTCCTTAATTTCACTTTCTTTCCAGAGGTGACTATAGTAATTAGTTTGATGTGTAACCTTCCAAAATCTTGGAGCATTTACATGCATCTATATAAACTTATAGACAATATACAATAAATAGAATTTTCTTTCTTTTTTTTAACCTAAATGCATGTTTCATTGTGCCACATGATTTTTTCATTTAGAATATTTTAGGGGTGCTTGGCGGGCTCATTTGGAAGAGAATTCAACTTTTGATCTCTGGGTCATGAGTTTGAGCCCTACATTGTGTGTAGAGATTACTAAAAAAAATAAACTTAAAAAAAAATTAAAATGTTTTAGATGTATAGAATTGCTGAATCACTATGTTGTACACTTGAAACTAATTAACATTGTCAGGTTATACTTTAAAAAAATGAAAAAAAATGTTTTAGAAATCTGTATCATTACATATGGTGGCTACTATATTCCTTTTAAATACAGCATAGAATTCTATAATATGAATGTTCTGTGGCTCATTTAGGTATTCCCTGTTGGTGGGCATTTAGGTTCATTCCAGTTTTTTACTGTTATGATAATACTGCAGTGGATAACTTTGTAAATGCCTCAGGTACGTGTATGGAATATTGAGTAGTAGAATGTTCTAGATCGTGTGGTTTGCACATTTTAGATTTTAATATTTATTGCAAATTGCCCTTAAGAGTAGCTGTACTGGGGCGCCTGGGTGGCTCAGTCGTTAAGCATCTGCCTTTGGCTCAGGTCATCATCCCAGGGTCCTGGGATCGAGCCCCGCATCGGGCTCCCTGCTCGGCGGGAAGCCTGCTTCTCCCTCTCCCACTCCCCTTGCTTGTGTTCCTTCTCTCGCTATCTCTCTGTCAAATAAATAAATCTTTAAAAAAAATACAAATAAAAGAGTAGCTGTACTGTTTTACCCTTCTAGCACTGTCTAAGGCTACCTATGTCCCTATATTTGTCTAATTAATTTAATTATATGTTTAAGATTAATTTCCCAAAATGGAATTGCTGGTTCAAAGTGTGTGACTCTTTCAAATTTTGGCACATTTCTTCCAGATTGCACTTAAGAAGGTTACCTATTTATAATTTACCAGCAGTAGAAGTATAAATTTAACCCATGAATTTAATATTTATCCATCTCAGAGACAAGAGGTTTCTTACTATTATTTTAATTTGCAGTTCTTTGCTTATTGAAGTGGAACGTCCTTTCATAAAGTTATCGTTTGTATTCATTCTGTCAGTTCTCTGTTCACTGTTGACCTATTTTTAGATAGATGTTCCTAATTAGGGTTGAAAGAGCTCCCTATTATACTAAGAATTTTATTTTATTTTTTTAGTTTTTTTACAATAAAAATGTTAATCCTGTGTCTGTGTTGGAAGTATTTCCCCCCCCAGTTTGCTCTAGTATTTTTTTCAAAATAGAAGTTTTAATTTTTATATCATTAAACCAGTCTTCATGGTGGTGATTCTCAGCCAGGGGTACTTTTCAAGATTACAGAAATGTTCACCTACATTTTCTTCCATTATTTTCATGGTCTCAGTTTTTTTTTTTTTTTAAAGATTTTTTTTATTTATTTATTTGACAGAGACAGCGAGAGCAGGAACACAAGCAGGGGGAGTGGGAGAGGGAGAAGCAGGCTTCCTGCTGAGCCGGGAGCCCGATGTGGGACTC